ATATTGTCCAAATGGACTAAGGTCCAAAGCATTAACAGGTATATGACACATGAAAGAAGAGGTGATTTTGCAGATCAATGGAGAAAAGACAGGCTGGTTGTGAAAAGGTCAGGGTCAACTTGTGACAAAAAAGTAAGTTGGATCCCACCTCATACAATTCAAAAACAGTGACTTCATTTGAAGTATTACTAAAATGTGAACAATTTTTCATTGAAACTTTATTAAGAAAATACATAGAAATAGATGAATAGCTTTATGTCTTTGTGGTAGGGAGGAATTTCTTTAACAACTTATAAAATGTGCCAACAATACCTTATTTGTTTTTTGACTACATAAATTTAAGAACCGCTGTTTACTTAAAAATGAAGTACAATGACAGTTACAATTCATAATATTTATAAAACACAAAAAATAACAAAATATTAGTATCTAGAATATCATTAAGAAAATGATGAACCTAATGGAAGTGAATAAAATATGTAAATACGTATTTCACAAAATAGGAAATGCAGATGTTTTACAAGCATGAAAAGATACTTGAACTAATTAATAACCATAGAAATACAAGTTTAAAGCATGATGTGATATTATTATATAAATACCAAAAAGGTGGTAGAACATTTGATAATAGTTTTTGTGAGTGTTTGCTCTGTGATTATATGCTGGCGATAGGGATGTACATTGACACAACTGTATTGAAAACCATTATGTTATCTATCTAGTAAGAATGAAGATGATCCTCTTTGTCAGCTCCACTGCTATCTGGAGAGCAGTGACTTTCAAAGCATTTCACCATGACCCACGTTACCTTGCACCCAGCACTCTTAGGTATTTGTATTTTTAGAATACATACAGAAGTTTCAATATTATTTATCTTTTGCTTGTGTTAGCATCTAAAACTTTCTTTGCCTTTTCATTTAGAGTGACTAAATGAATTTTCTAAACAATAATAGAACCAAATAATGGTACCTACCATTAAAAAGCTCATAGACACAAGAAGACATACACAAAATATTTGTGTCTGTTTTGTTTATGATAGCCTGAAATTGGAAATAGCCCAAATCCCTCTGACCAGAGAATAAATAATAAAATGCAATGGTTATAAGTAATGAAAATGAAGTACAGATTATACATAGAAATGAGGATAAATCTTAGGAAGAAATTGAGTAAAAAAACAAGTTACAGCAGTTTTCAATAAAAGATGCAATTTTTGGGCATCCCCGGTGGCGCAGCAGTTGAGCGCTGGGTTGCAAAGCTACCTGCAGCCTCTGCAGTGCTGGTTCAATCCCCGGCTGCTCCCCGGCCACCCGAGGAGGGTCCCACATGGCATGCAGACCTCTCCTGCTGCCCGCTGTTCCCCTCAGCAGTGTACTTCAGTCCTTCTGCCTGCTCTGCTCCCTGCTCTGGTTCCAGTGAATTCTCTCACCCTCCCGCGGTTCTGACTGTACCCAGTGCTTGTATAAATAAATAAATAAATCTTTAAAAAAAAAAATGCAATTTTTTTTAAAAAACTCAAAGATAATGTTTATGATAACAGCCACAAGTTATAGAGGATTAAACTTTGCTAGACTCTTCCAGATTTTACATATGTACATGCATACATACATACAAACAGAAATACACTTAAAACACTTTTAAATAGGCTGGCTTAGTTCATTTTGGTTTCTCTGTTAAAATTATATGTTGTATATAATGCTATAATGTGTAAAATAGTTGGAGGAAACATAGAGGGGAAATTGGACTTTAAATTGGAAAATTGGATTTTAATTGTAAGCTCATAGTTTTTTTTTTTCCCACACACTTGCATATATATAACATGTTTGTATTTTTATATAGGTGTATGTGTTGATATACCTATGTATTTTTACATAGATATCTTAGAATCTGGTGTTTCTAAAAAAAGTAAGCCTTAGGAATTCAGGTAACTTATTGATTATGGCATTGAAATGAACTGTCAAAAATGTGACAAAAGTTTTAAAATCCTCTGGTCTTTGCTGTAGATGAGTAAACCTACAGATCTTTGAGATAACATGCAACAGGCTGAATCTGAGAAGTTCTACAAGCACTCAAAGAATTTCTTTAGGTATTGTATAGCTGAAACTAGTTAGTAACAAACCAATTTATTAGCCGATTGATAAAACAGAAAGCCAGGTCAAGAATAAGGTGATAAAAAAAGTCTTATAGCTGGTAATCTTTATATATGTCTCACCCTTAACTTTCTGCCTTCAATTTTAGAATTGAAGTAACTAAGAGACAATTGTATCTAAAATAATGGGTTCTCTATTTGGCGGGGTTTTTTTAGACTTCTTTTATTATCAATATTTAGAATAAAATAAAATTCCAAGTTCCTCATTGAAATGGCATATTAGTTTCAGACTAAATATCTATTTCTGTGCTGTCTGTTGATAGTTTGTCAGCTAAAATTCTTCTCCTAATAGTTATATTGTCAGAATAAGATATGTTTTAAATGAGATAGGCTTTTAAATGAAAATCAATAGTGCATTTTCCATAAAACAAAATAGCTTTACGAACTACTTCAGACCTTATTTCTAAATATAAACATTATTTTTATAGGTCCTAGGAAGTAATTTGGACTTTTTATTGCCCAATGGCATACTGAAAGGGTGTGACAATTATATCTGATGTGGCCTATTAAATGTTCTCATTGAAATGCACCAAGTCATTAAAATAGAAAACTCACATCAGAAAAGTTTATACTTTAATAAAGCTTCATAAATAAGCTACATGGCATATTTTAAAAAATCCCTTCCAGGTTCCTTTTAGTCATTTCTCTCAAGCAAGAGCAATCTCATGCACACACACACACACACACACACACACACACACACACACACTTATCTTTGAAGTCCGCCTTATTTTCTACTTTCATGTTGCCAATTCTAACCTTCCTAACTTGTATTGATTTTTATAGCAGCTGTTGTCTTATAGCTAGTGTTTATCTTACTATGCCATAATTTGAAACTACATGGCGGAAACAACATAGACTATAGCTAGTTTTCAAATCTTACCTCTTACTACTTCATCATAGTAAACAAATAATTACTCATTTTGTGCCAAAATGGAGAGTAGAGAATCCATTCTGAGAATTGGATGAAGTGAATATTAAAACACCTATTGTTGAATCTTATGTTTCATAGTTGAACAGCAATAATTAGTATTGATATATGTCATAAGCTGGGAAGAATCTGAGAATTTACCTATTGTCAACAGCAGGCTAACAAGTTAGCCCGCCATAATTATGTGAATGTTGGCAGAAGACACAAGTCTGTGGGGTCTGCAGTTGATTACTCACAGCAATAGCAGCAGTCAGACTACGCAATATTGTAGATTCTTTAGCCCAAATTCCCAGAGACCAATGTTTAGTGGGCCAGGTTTAAAACCTACATACAAAATAGTGGGGGCTACTGGGAGTAGAGCAGACTCTGGACCCATCTTTTTAAAGAGGTAGTAAGACTACCTAACCTTAGCCCTTTTCATTATATAAATAGCTCTGAAAAGACCCTTTGAAACAAAGGTGCTTGATTAATACTGGTATCTTGAAGTGTTTAGTCTTATAGTTTCTTGCTAAAAAATGTCCAATCCCCTTAAAACCTAATTTTACTTCTCTTCGCTTAGAAGACCCTAACTGATCAGGTATCGGGCATCTCACCTTATACCATTATTCTGACCATCTTGCTCTGAAACCCACCTATAGCCTTTGCCTTTGCCGTTTCCCAGATCATCACCTAGCTAGCTTCTTGACATTCAAAATTCTGCTTAAGCGAGTGAGATTTTTCTCTGACCACCTAATGTAAAGTAACTCCATAAGCATAAGCATTTATCACCCTTTTTGTCATAGTACTGTATTTATCAAACTTTTTATTGTTGGTTTTCTCTCTCTGCCTCCTGCCTTGCCCCTCTCACACAGAATATAAAGAATGTAAATCTGTTTTAGAGTCATACACATATATGTATAGTGTCCTTAGAAGAGTACCATTTAGTATTCAGGATCTCAGTATGGGATGGGTGATGGTTGAGTCAGTATTTACTCTATGCTCTTCTTCCTTTTTATCCTTGTGCTTTTAATTGTTTTGGTCAATAATATTAAAATTTATTTAATTTCTAATGAGGAATTTGTACTCTTGTGTAAAAAAAGAAAAATAGATTATTACAGTAAAAAAAAATTAAAGTCTACCACCAAATTATATGCCTACTTGTTATAGCTTAGCTTTGTGCTTTTTTATTTCATACTATTAGTGATACAGTAGCAACTAGATAACCTGTTTGGATTTATCACTACTGAGAATACAATCTCCTCTGATGCCATGCAGTTTGTTGACACTTAGAGACATTCGTGTTTTTTACCTGCTAATTCTTACTAATACCACACAGGATGATGCAACTACTTGATTTGTATACAATTTCGAAAAAAAAAAATTAATCACATTTCTTTTGAAATCTTGTGGCTCACGTGTTAATTCATTACAATGAATAGTAAGAGGTTCTGACTTTGAAATATCAAGTATTTCTTTAACCCATCCTTATGATACTTCTTTACATATGAGAGAAATTAAGTGATTATAATATCAAGTAGCCATTACAAAATTTCCGTTCTTTCATGTCTTCAAATATTTTGTTATACTCAGTAGTTTACTTAGAGTGTGGGAGACACTAATACATATGCTAGACACTCTTTTAGAAATATCTCTGTGTGTGAAAACTGTTTTGATTTGTAAATTAAATGCTTTTTTATTTTTAGTTTCTGTCTCCCTTCTCTAAGTTGATTCCACTAAGATGCAGGTGCTTTAACCATAACAGTTGTATTTATAGATACATAACATTTAGCAAGAGTTCCTATGCTTATCTTTTGAAAGACTGCTACTAATATAAGAAGTAACCCTTATCTAAAAGACACTTAATTACAGTTCTACACTTTAGTAATTTTCCATCTTCTTTGTGGAATCTGTTGTTGATTATTTTTCAAAATTTATTTGTAATAGCAAGCAATAAAGGAGAATGTCAAAAAAAGGGAAGCAGAGGAAAAGGAAAAACGTGCCAGGATAGCCAAAGAATTGGCAGAGAAAGAAAGACTTGAACGCCAGCAAAAGAAAAAGCGCTTATTAGAAATGAAGACTGGTGAGTACTCTCAAATTTTAGTATTTATACTACATATACATAAGTTTGATAATGGCTATTTTATTAGCAGTTTCTCATACTTCTGTGAAAAAGGAACATATGATCACTTCTGCAGTGAAACAATCTTTTGCTTTTCCCCATAGGTTTATTAACAAATAGTGTTTTCAGTCTGGCTTTGGTTCTAGGTGATTTAGTCCTCTGGTATATTCACATTTCTTTGACTGCTTTAAACCCACTTTGTAATATGAAGTAATAAATTAACATTTACTGGAAACTGGAAAATTCTGCAGGGCAAGTAATCTGACTCCTTCAACAAAATATTTTCAGGGGGGAAAAGGGATAAAAGGGAAATTTGAAATTTATGGGACATCTCAACCAAATGTAAGAAATGGAACTTTCGTATATTCTAATCCAAACAAGTAACTGTAGAAAAGCAGTCTGAAAATTTGAATACTCTTTGTCTTGTAGACATGACAGTATTGTGAATATGCTTTAAAGTATCTTTTAGGACTCATACTGAAATTTTACAGGGGAAAAGATATTATGTCTGTGATTTCCATCAAAATCATCCAGAATGAGTTGGAAGTAGGCAGGTGTGCATAGGAAACAAGATTGGCTATAATAGAAATTGCTAAAATTGGGTGATGGGTACTTGGAGGAGTTTAGTTGTTCGATGCACTAATATCTCTACCTGTATATATTTAAATTCTTTTTTAATACAAAGTTCTTGGAAAATTTTTCAAATAGAAAAATAACAGTGTTTTACAGCTAGGTCTTTTTTCCAAAGCTAAAAGATACCACCAACTTAGAAGCAAAAGAAATTCAGTAAATTGTAATTATATTTTCACCCCCTCACCTCCCCACCCCAGTCTCAAACATTCTGTCTCTTCCACCTACAAACCGCGGAAGACTTGAATTAAAATCCATCAGCTTCACTGTTAAATTACACAGTTTACAACTCTGGACTGCAAATTCACCTAAGCTTTACCCAGGAGTAAAACTTTGATTTCACTTTTGTGGACATAAATTATGTTTAATAAAGCAAACTGAGTACCTTAATGTATCACACATTTCTTGCAGGGGAAAAATATAATCTAAGCACATTTTCTTCTTTATATGGCTATACTTAAAATTCAGGAAGTGTTCTCAGAAACATCTTAAAGTATTAACAAAAATGGAGATCAGACAGGCTTAGCATTGATTTAAAAAATATGCTTCTGGAAATCATTTTAAAATAATTTATTACTTTCTACTTTACCAGATATTCTGATATTTGAAACTTAATTCATTCAATTTTGGTTAAAGAGGCAACTACATGAGATACTTGATGGCAGATTGTGTTGTTTGTGGGTTTTGTCCAAGGTTTATGATACATTAGCTCTCAGCAATGTTCTCTGTTTTATCATAACTGAAAAGGTAAAATCTAGGAAACAAAAAATTTAATGCAACTTCAAATCCAAAATACTAGTAATAATATTTTAACTTAAATTTGTATTTCCCCTATGAAAGCTCTATTTTTAAGATGACTGCTTTATTTTTCCAATTTAAAGAGAATACCTCTGTGTTATAAAAAAACACCTAAAAAGTGGTAGATCAAAAAACATACATTCTTCTATCCAAAGAATCAATGTTAACATTTTGGCACATTTTTGCTTGTTTTGAAATTTTTTGCCTTTGACTAATAGCTATGATCCTAGTGAATATGCAGATTAACATCTTTTATTTTGTCAAACTTTGGAGTACTTGATACTATTTGTAAGGTATAATTTTTAATTTTTCATATATATCATGGTATCTATTGGACATGTCTTAACCAATTTAACTTTCATTAGTCAGTAATGAGGTCATAGAATAATAGTTACTTTCCAGCTTTTCAATACATTTATACATAAATAATTGACAAATTTTATTATTGGGAAATGAACTGGAAAAGGATAAATATTTTTAAGATTTTTTCTACACTTGAGTTCCAAAAGTATTAGACTAATTTCACTAACTTATATCATTAGCTTATATAAGTTCCTTGTTTGTGTCTGTTTGCAAAGGAAATCAACCTGTACCCCTGTGATTTCTTCTATGTGAGCCATTAATCATCAGACAGATTGCTAGAGAGAAAGCCAAAAATAAGTTTAATAATAACGTGGATACCTCCTGTATACATGGGAGACACCCAACATGATTGAATAACTTACCCATGTATAAATATGCAGTCATCTTTTTTCCCATGTTACAGGTAGATGATACTTTTTGTGAAATCATGATGTTTACAGATTTGGAGACTTATGAAATAGAAGTTACATAGTAGTATATTTAACTAGCACTCAGTTATTTACAGTATTATTATGCACAATGTCATTTTTTTCTACTTTCACTGAATTTTATGCATTTTTAATATTTGACAAATATCTTCAATTAAAGACATTTAATACTCTGAAAAACATAGTGCCGTATATGGCCCTACATTATTATTTTATTGGTATAGAAAAGACATTTAATAGCCAGAGCAATTTTCTTTTATTCATTAAAAGGTAGCTTTTTTTCCTATATGATGGGTTTCAGGGATAAATAAGGTTCCTGCTTTGATGAAGTTTAGTATTCTAATAAGTGATTCAGACAACACATGTATGAGATATTTCCTATTATAAAAAAAGTATATGAAGTAAAGTAAGACAGGATAATGAGAGGCACACTGACAGAAGCAGAGGATATAGTAATGACAAAATTCAGTCTTACAGGATTGAGGAGAAGATTTATACCAAACTTGATGATCTAAAATGTTGTTTGTAATAATCTGTAGAAATTGATAAGATAAGCAGGTTCACATTTATATACTATGCTATGTATTATGCTGATAATAGTAATTTTTAAGTATCTTACTATGAAGATCAGTTAAAATTTTGCAAATTTTTTTCATTTTGTTAGCATTATATTTTAGTACAGAACATAGTGCTTCTCTAATCTTTGTAGAGCTTTCCTAGTCTTAAAAATATGGAGAAGGGTGGAATGAATCTACATTAGTGTTTGGTCACCTCTCTGGATGAGGAGCTTTTTGTTTTATTTTTGTATATAGGAAATAGATCTCTGAGTGATAGAAAATCTTCACATAACCCTGCCATAAGCCCACAGGGAGCTTCCTTCCATAGATTTTCATGTCTTATGTATTTTCACCATGCAGATAAGAACTGCTTTTTTCACAGATGCACACATTCTTGTATCACCACCTGAGGTAGTAGAGTAAATTAAATCCCTGTTCTTATCCTTCATAAATCATTACTTGCCTTTGGCAAGAGAGAAAGCATCTATTTTCAAGTCTACTATTTATTATGACTATCAATTCAAAATGTGATTTTTTGTTAATAGAATGAAAATAAAGATAGAATAGTGGGTTAAATTTCCCTATGAAGAAAAATGAAACATTAAAAATTCTTTTGAGCAGCAAAGCTAAGAAAGCATAGCATCTCAAATTATCAAGTTACAGCATTAAAAGATCATTTTTCTCATTTTTGTTTTCTTTAAAAATGATGAGCCTGGAGGTCTTTTAAATATTCACATATACATTTTGGTTATTTCTGTTGAATGATTTGGTATTACATTAAACAAACAAGCAAATTAGCTACATTTTCATGATGTCCTTATTTAATCGCTATGTGGATTTTGAATACATCTTCTAAGTTTATTTAAGTTTGAATTCTTTTAATTTAAAGGATAGGAAAGTACTAGCCATCTGATATAGAGCAAGTAAGTGTATACACTAGTATTTAATTATTTAAAATGTATAGCTATGCTTATGTATAATTATTTCTACCAGGACAAATAGTAATAGTGATTTTATGTGATTATGTACAACTTTTTGAGACTGCATTTGTTTTATAATCATGGAAACAAATAGGGCATTTGATAATAGAATTCAAATATTATGCTTTAAGATTTCCTGAGTATGTAAGTTGATTCACATAATTTTTAAATAGCACATCAAAATGGCCTTGAAATGGACACAGTGCTGTATAATTATGTTTTGGTGGGGAAGTAAATAAGAGTTTATTTAATGACCAATAAAAGCTGTATGAGCAGCTCCTATATTTCAGTCTTTAGGTTACAATTTGTTTATTATTTATTAGACTTAAATGTCTCATTTGGTGCAACTTCAGTCTATTAAATAAAGAGATAATTAGCTTTTAGAAATCTGTTGTTTACCCACATGGCCAAAACTGCTCCTTTGTTTTCCATTCTGCAATTTAGAATAGCTAAGCAATTAGGCTTCCATTTTAGAGGAAATGCATATTACATAAATACTACTTGGGAATGTCTCTGCCAATCTCAACAGATATGCAATTAATGTGCGTACTTGCTTTCATAAAGGCTGTGACAATTACCCTGTCCTCTACAAATATCGTAAAGCTTAGATTATTTTCCATAATTGCATATATTGTAGTTTTGTGCAGCAGTGCTTTCAATTTTTGAGTATCATTGGCAATTGATACATGTAGACAAGCCAATGGTTTTAATTTTCTCTTTATATAAGAAATCAGTATATAGAACAGCATAACAAATTAGACTTGTATTGGCTTTAGTATATTTCTCTTTTCTTAACCCTGTTCACTACCGCTGCTCTACTACTACTTTTTTTTTTTTTAAAGAGGCATGTATTTTATTCATTTATTTATATACTTATTTGTTTGTTTGTTTTATACATGCACTGGGTACAGTCAGAAGCGTGGGAGGGTGAGAGAATTCACCAGAGCCAGAGCGGGGAGCAGAGCAGGCAGAAGGACCTAAGTACACTGCTGAGGGGAGCAGCAGGCGGCAGGTGAGGTCTGCGCACTATGTGGGACCCTCCTCTGGTGGCTGGGGAGCAGCCGGGGATCGAACCGGCGCTGCAGAGGCCGCGGGCAGCTTTGCAACCCAGCGCTCAACCGCTGCACCACCGGGGAGGCCCTCTACTACTACTTTATATTGCTCACACATTGCCATTCTTATGTCACTTCATTTTTGTATGTAGT